TCGGAAAAGTGTGGTGCTGATAACACCAAGTCAAGGGTTAAGATCCCCTTACCGGTCATCTATTTAAACAAAAAGGAAATGTGGTAATGAGCCTCATGGCATCTTTAACTGTGAGCATGTTTTGTGGGCCAACTTTTCTTCTGGTATAGAGGCTATAATTTACTTACCTTGCATTGAAACAGTAGTGTACTTTTCTTTGCAGTCTTCCAAATCCCATGTCAGCAGAGCAGTACTTGAACTTTGCCTTGCATTTTCAAAATACCTGAGTAATCTGCAGAATGGGATGCCCCTACTCAAGCAATTGTGTGATCACATTCTTCTTAATCCTGCTATATGGATTCATACTCCAGCCAAGGTAAAATTGATAGTGATTTTGTATTTTATTGTCTTTGTGAATTTTTTGTGCTTGAGAAGAGTGATAATTATGAGGATTTTCTTTTATCCTTTTACATACTTTTATGTAAGGTTTCAGTGGTTTGCATTTTTTTGACTAAGCATTCTCTTTCTTTCCAGGAAAATATGCAAGTCAGTATATATTTTCTTTTTCCTTTTTTGTAAAGCAGTGTCATCATTTTAAAAAATGCAGCTATGGTCTTTATGTTCTGCTGTTAAGTCAAATCAAGTTTTATTTGAGAAATATTTTGTTTACTAAATATAAATCAAAGTTGGACAGTTCTAATGTAAATATAATGTTTCCTAGCAACTGTAGCTCTGTTCTATTGCAAATATGCACCTATTTTTTCCCATTCCTTAAGAAGTCTCTGCTCCTACTGTCTCCCTCCTTTTTACACACTTTGCTTTCCATCAACATGATGAATTCCAGAATTTCATTCTTACAGGTACAGCTGAAACATCACTCTTTCCTTGAAGGCATGATATACTGGTCTCATTTAATCATTTTAATTTCACCTTAATTCAAGTTTTAATAATATGTTTTTACAAAATAATTTTTTTAGTACTGTAACAACAAAGCAATTACTTCTATGTGAATATAAATGAATTCGTGATAGTGTATGAACAAAATCTTCAATAAGTCCAAATGTACTAACTTGTCCTGAAAATTCAATAGTGGCTTAATAGCTTTAAGCAGAACTTGAAACCAAGAAATTTTTATTAAATTGCATAATTGTATTCATCTTATCTACAAGTTTTATTTTATTAGAAGTTGTGTTATTTCAAATGCATTATTTTCCTCTCTCTCTCCCTCCCCCTTTTGGTCCACTTTCAGTGCATATCATTGTTTAGGTTGAAATACCACATAACTTACTCTAAAAGAAAAAAAGTCTGCAAAGGTTTTTGCTTTTCTAGAGTCATAATATCTTATTTTCAGCTAGTCTTTTCAAATGTTAAACAGAAAAACAGCTGCTGACTCTGATTGCCATTTGGAAATAATCAAAGGAGGCAGCTGGAGGTTGTAGCTTTTTATCTGCAGGTTAAATGTGACCTCTTTCTCTTCTATGACCCTCAGTCTTATTTCTTTTCAAGGATTATTTCACGTAACTTTTAAAACTTTTTACTAGACACTTTTTTGTCTTACTAACCAGCATATTTGTAAGGCTTTGTGTCTCTTTTGATGTGGTCAGAAAACCTCTTTTTAAATACTTAGTTGTAGGGGAATTTTTTAAAAATGTCATCATATGATTTCCTTAGGTTCCTAATGTTATTATAGTCTATTTGTTACCTTCTACTTTTAATAACTTTTCTTAATTTCCTTTTTAGAGTTTGCAATTGATTTGATAATATTAAACTTGCCTCTTTTTCAGCTGTCTGCTTTATGTATCCATGAGGGGCTTTATCTGCTTTTATTTTATCATAAAGGTAGTTATCACGGAGGTTAGATACATATTTTGTTAGACTTGAAGGTCATGTAGCTTGCTGGGAGGATGGGGGAAGGAGCCCTTTAAGAAAAATAATACAGTATAATGCACACAAAATTAGTTTTAGGGTCTTGGAAGGAACATTTATAGATGAGTGATCATAAAATTTAAACTTCATTAGCTTCATGGTAAATCTACATCTGGTTACCAAAGGTCTGGATACATGAATCAACCTTTCATTTGCAAAAGGGAGCTAACAATGATTTATAATTTCTATTTATCTTAGATTTGCTTAGAGACAATCTTTTAATGACCTAGCAGGTGATAAGAATTTTCTTGTCTATAAAGGTCCTTTGATGACTCAACAAGTATTTGTTGGATGACTCCTTTATGCTGGGCCCTGTGAATACAGTGGTGAACAAGACAGACTTGATTCTTGCCCTTATAGAATTTAGATCTAGTGGGAAAGACAGATGTTAACACATAATTTGTACGGTTAGTGGATAATATAATGAGTGAATGAGGGAAGGATTATTCGTAGTTAGCATATGATTAATCTCCATTGAAGTCCTCACTTTCATTCATCTCTATGTGTTGCTATACTATTCATTTTTCTTTAGCCACAGTATTCTCAGTAGACTGATTTTCTCCAGTTTTCCATTTTTCGGGTCTAATTTATCACTTTTCTGCCAGAATTCTTTTATGTAATTAATGTATCACTCTCATGAGATCACTTCTTAGCTCTAAAACTTTTCATGGTTTCCCACTGTTTTCAGAATGAACTAGTTCCTTATCTAACATTAAACCTTCCTGTCGGTTCTCCTTTCTAGGTTTTCTAGCCTTACTCAAACATTCTCAGGTTAGCACATACTGAAAGTTTTCCCTAGAGCAGTGGTTCTCAGTCTTGGCTGCTGACAGAATCAGTTGGGGGAGGTTTTTAAAAACAAATACAAAAACAGAATTTCACCTTTTCCACCTGAGATTCTGATTTCATTGGTCTGGGATGGGACCTAGGCATCAGTATTTAAAAAAAAAAAAGTTTTATAGATATTTTAATATGCAGTCAGGATTGAGAACCATTGTTCTAGATATAGGGAAACCTTTTATTTCAACCATCATTTTCCTTGTTTGAAATTTCCCTTCTTGTTCTGTCTACCTTTCCTGCTATTCATGTTCACAGCCTATCTTAATACCTACTTTATTAGTGAAGCTTTTCTTCACTATGATAGTTTCTCTGGACTCTGAATTTATAGTATTTATTTATTTATTTTTTCACCTTATTTTTAATTTTTAAAATTTTATTGAATCAAAATTGATTGTACGTATTTTTGGGGTTCAACATTGAGATATGTTGATCAAATCAATATTACTAGCATATATATATTGTTACAAATGTTCTTATTCTTTATGCCCCTTGTCCAATCTCTCCCTATCCCCCTCTCCCTCCTCCTCCACTGATAACCCTAGATTTCTTCTCTCCCTCTGAAAGAATAAAGGTTACTCTGTTGATTTGTTGCCTGGGTGTTCTGTCCAATGCTGAGAGAGATGATCTGGTCCCCCAGTATTATCATAGAACAGCTGCTTCTTCTGTCACTCTGAAATGGGCTTTGTGGAGAGAGACAACCTTTTCTTTTCTTTATCTCTCCTGGTTACTCTCCTTGTGTCAGTGCACTCCAGTGGCTGGTGGACCATCTGCGTGGTTGTGGCGTCTTCCACAGCAGTCATGGTTATTGTGGTGGCTGTGGTGGGACACCCACATGGAGGTGATGTTTTTGGTGTGCTCCTTGGTGCTGGTGGTTTACCTGGTTGTGGGGAGTGTCTGGTCCCCAGCTCCATGCCTTGGGTCCCCATTGGGCCCTGAGGTGCTGGAGTGGTGTGCCTGGTTATGAGAGGGGGGTCCGGTCCCCTTCTCCATGCTTCGGGTCCCTGGGCGGTCCCTTAGGCACTGGCGTGGTGTGCCTGGTTGTGGGAGAGGGGTCTGGTCCTCTTCTCCATGCCTTGGGTTCCCAGGCAGGCCCCGAGGCATTGGTGGTGTGCCTTGCTGGAACTTGTTTTTTCTCCTTTGCTTACTTCTAACATGGGGGAACTTCCTGTGGGAACCAGTACTTGAGCTGTGTGGTTGAGCTAAATTGTTGCTTTGCTGCTGTTTCCCTAGGGAAGGCTTTTTGTTCAGCTTAGGGTTTAATGGTTGACCTTATCTTGACTTCCGCTCTCCAGAGACTCGGTGCACCTGGGTTGTGTAGAAACTCTGATCTGGGCCTGGGTCTCCTCATCAAACTGCACACCATGTAATTCTGCACTCCTGACCAGTCTCCTGTGAGTGGTCCTGTGCTGACTTGGGGTTGGATCGGCTGTCCTTGCTGTGCCCCAGTGCTTCTCGGTGGACCGTCTCCCCCACCTCCTGTGCTCCAAACACTTCACATGGAACTGGCCCTGCACCGGTCCCCTGAGATGACTCACTGGCCTCTGAATGGCTCCCCTTTTTCAGCTGTTCTGGCTCCTCAGTCCTGCTTGGGTCCACGGGAATCCCACTAGTGGTCCTGCCATCCCAGGGGCCACCAAGGTCCTCTTCTCCCCCACTGCATCCAAGCAACTCCATCTGAAGGGCACAGCTGTGGCCTCCACTGTCTCATGCTCCATGCACTCAGCAGCTCCACCATCAAGGTGGCTGTGGCCTGAAGTGCTCAGAGCAGTTTTTCCTTTCTCATAGTGGTTTCTCCTGCCTTCATGAACTCTGTAGGTCTCTCCTCCTCTTCCCCTGAGCTCCAGCGGCCCCAGCTTGGCTGATGTTACATTTTTATAGTTGAAAATTAGTTGATTTGTGTGAGAGAGTGACACTGGGGACCATCTATTCTGCCATCTTGACCAGAACCTGAATTTATAGTATTTAATAGCTCTGTGCCACTCAATTAATTGTGTATTGCCTCATGACCTTTTTATGTCAGTAGGCATATTTATTATCTTTGATTTTTTGCTTAATTTTGTATTTTTCATCTTCTCAACATAAAATGACAGCATATGTGCCATTTTATTCCTGTAATACATTGCTATGTGTAAAGGTAGATGTACGTATTTGCTGAATGACTAAAGTAACGTGATTAAGAGTTTGAACCATGTCGTAGGAAGTGTATAATATTGCTTTGGTGAGAAGTAGATTGGACTTATCCATTTGAACAGCAGTAGCTACGTCAAAATAATTTTATCTTTCAGCAAATCAGTGGATTACATGTCTTTCTAAACTAGTCATCTTCTAAGCCCCACTTTAAAGAAATTTTAAATTTTAATTGACACACTGTAATTATATGTACTTATGGGATACAGTCTGAGGTTTTGATACATATATATGTTGTATAATAATCGGGTTAGGATAGTTAATGTATCTGTCACCTCATGCATTTATCTTTTCTTTGTGGCGAAAACATTCAAAAGCCTCTCTTCTAGATGTTATGTAATTTGCAAAACTTAAGTTCCACTTTTAGGTGATTCAGAATCTGCCACTTTTCACCATGTAGTATTACTAATTGACTCCCTCATTCATTTAACCTTGACTGTTTATTTGTAGGGCAACTGGAAGATAAGTACCTAATTTTCGCTTTCTAAAGAAATCGGTAGGTGATACTGAGGTATTTTGCAGGGTTGGAAATGAAAATGCCCTCATTGTTCAGGAGTGTAGCATGAAAGTTCAGTTGTAAATGATCAGGAGTAGTTTGGTCTGTGGTCAAGGGGAGAATATATCTATACTTTTTCGTATGAACTGGCTCGTTAGTTCAGTTGGCTAGAGTGTGGTGCTGATAATACCAAGGTCTAGGGTTTGATGATCCCTGTACTTGCCAGCTGCCAAAAATAAAAAAAAGTTCATTTTATAAAAAATATTCACTAGCAATAAAATGAAAAGTTCTTCGGGCCGGCCCCGTGGCGCACTCGGGAGAGTGCAGCGCTGGGAGCGCAGGGACGCTCCCGCCACGGGTTCGGATCCTATATAGGAATGGCCGGTGCGCTCACTGGCTGAGCGCGGTGTGGGCGACACCACACCAAGGGTTGCGATCCCCTTACTGGTCACGAAAAAGACAAAAAAAAAAAGAAAGAAAGAAAAATTCTTCCTTTCAACATGAGAGTAGAGCAAAAGCAGTCCTTATTTTGTACTGCTCTAAGTACTGGAGTATAGTTGTTGGTGAATTTTAGAGCCTAATTTTACTGAAATTTTGTTTTAAAATGTGCAGTGATGGGGTAGAACTTACATTCTTTGTTTTCTCTTATTAACAGCTTATATTTTGAAGTTAATATGAACATTTATAAGTTCTTATGTATTTAGACTATTTATAAATAAGACTAGTGGAATTCTTTCCTGTTGGGGAGACATGATATACATGTTTAGATATTATAATGTTATGATTAAAATACTAGATTAGAATCTTTGTAGTAATGAGCTAGTATAACAGAATTCTATTTTTCTGATAAATATTCCTCAAGATAAATGTTACATTTTTCTATGGTTTTCTTTCTTTTGATTTATTCCTATCTTTTTTCTTTTGAGTTACTTCTATTTTTTTTTTCTTTTGAGTCATTTCAGCTTCTAATTTTATGCAAAACAAAGAAAAATACTACCTCTTTATAGTATTGTAAAATACTACAGTATTTACATAGTATAGTAAAAATACTACCAATTATGCATAGCGTAAGTAATAAGTATTATAAAGAAGTTGCGTATGCCAATGAATAAATTGCTGATTGCTAAATAGGAATCAAAGAGGTATTTCCATGGAATAGTGGTGCAACATTCAATATATTTGGGGTACTGACTTTATAATGCTACTGTAAAAGAAAAAATTGCAAGGCTTGGTTTTATAAGGCGTATGTGTGTGTGTGCTTGTGTGGCAGTGGATTATGTGTTATCTAACATGGATGTTATCAAGCTCAGTGTCTTACTTTTTGGAGCAAATATGATGCAAGTAAAGCATCCAGAGGGTGTTACTGGAAACGGGTATAATGCTGGTGGAATTTTTTGATATAAGTTCTTCATTTTCATTCTGTAGGTTCAGTTGATGCTCTATACTTACCTGTCCACGGAATTCATTGGTACAGTCAACATATATAATGCCATTCGGAGAGTTGGAACAGTGCTTCTCATCATGCACACACTGAAGTACTACTACTGGGCAGTGAATCCTCTGGATCGAAGTGGTATCACCCCAAAAGGATTAGGTATGTCACCTCTGTCTATGCATTATTTTACACATATGCCATCTCAGGATTTTAGTTTTTGTTTTTTGTTTTAACCTATATTATATTATTCTGGCAGTTTTTGAAAACTCATTTTGGCAAAATTTTAATCTTACTGATTCGAACAGTTAGTTTTTCCTAAATTGTGATTGCCAGTGGTTAATAACTTGCTTCTTTGATGGAATAACACTACTTGTGCTGGTTTGAGTTGTTTGGAGAGCAAGTATGACTAGCATGGTTGTTGTAAGGCACTGAAAATGAGAAGAAATTCTTAATTACTGGTATTGATGCTGAGATCAATTATCACAATGAAATTAACTGAAAACTGTTCGAGACATGGCATTTTCTTGCAGAAGTACAAGGTATCTGCTTCTAATAAAGATATAATGAAATTACAATATTTCAGTAATTATTTTCCTTCATAATCAGGACGAACTTATTGAAAGGGTAATATTCAATGAAATTAACTGAAAACTGTTCGAGACATGGCATTTTCTTGCAGAAGTACAAGGTATCTGCTCCTAATAAAGATATAATGAAATTACAATATTTCAGTAATTATTTTCCTTCATAATCAGGACGAACTTATTGAAAGGGTAATATTCATTTGTCATGTCAGCAGTTTGTGGAAGAGGTCAAAATAAAACTTGACACATGGTGGCTCTTTTAGTTGTGACTGTTGCAAAACCTGTTTCAAACAAGCTTATGTCAAAAAAAGAAGTTGATCAGCTTATATGAATTGGCAATTTCAGGTACAACTTGGTTCAGAGTATGGCCATAGGACCTAATTTGTCTCTCTACATTTACCAGTTCTTCTATGTTGCTGTTTTCACGTATTCTTTCACTTTGTAGTAAGTGAGCAGCCAGTCCACCCTCTCATTCTGACAACTTTAAATCCAGGAAAAGAGCATCTGCCTATATGAAGCATTTCCAGCAAAAGTCTCTTTTAGTCTCTTTGTATCTCATTGGCTCTGATTGCATTGTGTGCCCATCTCCGTTGCAGTAACTGTTCTGATTGCCCAGACATAGAAGTGTACCCCACATTGAAATACATGGCCTGACAGTGAGGATGGATTCAGTCTCTTGATAAAAATTAAGGACTGTTGCTTGAAATTAGGAAATAGATGCTGAGGAGTCAAATAGTATACATCCTGATTGTAGAGTTTGGTTGTTGAGTGATTTACAAAGACAAGGTTTCGTATTTACATAATACTTTTTATATCACTTTCGAAATAAACTTGGTTTATTCTAAGAGAATATAGTTTCTATAATTTAGAAAGCTGTAAGGACTCAAAGAAGTTGTATGATTTGTTGAAGCTTTCAAGATTGTGGCAGATCTAGAACCAGGTCAAAATTTCCTGATGGCTATTTTGTGATGCTCTAGATGAATCATGTGCTGTCCTGGGTGCTAATTTTGTATTCTGGTCTTCATTTCATAACTGACTAGTGACCTTGGGAAAATCTCATATTTCAAATGAGAGAGCTGGACAAATTTTGTGATTCTATTCTAACTCTTTAGCTTATTCTTAATTATCATGTGGAACAAATTTAAATAATTTTCTTTCTATTTTAATTGATCTGTTCAAGGTCATGCTGGTCCTATCCTCTGGTGGTCTAGGAAATAGCTGTAAATAGTTGTTAGTAAAATTGTAGAATGTATGAGTCAAACAGGTACCTAACTTAGGATCCTAGAACAATGGGTATTTGGTTTCAAAAGCTTTCTACTTGGGAATTACATGTTTAAGACAAGAAAATTGACTTAATGTGAGCCATGTGCGACCAAGGACTTTTCCAAGCACAGAAGGAGATGTCAGAGGTAGTCCATATAATGTTTCCCTTCCTCATCAATGATACTGTGTGGTGATGCATACTTTTGAAATTTTTATATTTCTTACTGAATTCACATATAATATTAAAGTTTAGATTTTTCTTTGTAAACATCTGTTACCTTATTAATACTTGTAGGGTATTTTAAAACAAAATGTAAGTGTATATTATTATTGAATACACATTTTATTTATGTGTTACCTCATTTTTCTGTTTTGGAAATACTTTGGTCTATTCAAAATACAAATTTCTTTGTTATAGTTTCAACATTACTTATTTTGTACTTTTGGAGTATTGTATAATAAATTGCATGTGAGATTGAATGCTTATCTTTCTAGAGCCATAAAAGAGAGCTGACTATTTAGGAGAATGACCTGTATGTTTCTTGTAAATAAATGGAAAAATTATTGGGAATGAGAATTTTATACTTTTAGACAGCTTTGAGGACTTTGAAATACTAAATGTCTATATGTGTTTTTTTAAAGATGGACCACGACCTAATCAAAAAGAAATACTTTCTCTACGAGCATTCTTATTGATGTTCATTAAGCAGTTAGTGATGAGGGTGAGTCCTTATTGCTTATCTGATAGCATGCTGTGTATCGTAGCTTATAACTTCACATAAAATCAATCTTAGTGTATATATTCTTTGCTTTCTTGGTAGGGTTACACATTGGAAAATGCTTTGAAAGATGTTTATTTCCTTTCTCGTATTTTTGTTTTCTTTTGGGCATATGTGGGTATAAATTATTGTAGAATTGGAGATTGGTAATTGTAATATGTTATATGAATTTCTGTAGGAGCTTGAGTGTATTCATTCTTTGATTTAGCAAATATTTACTGATTTTCTATTAAGTACTATGTGCTATTCTTGGCACTGGAGATATAGTAGTCAACAAAGCTCCTAAAGGAGGTTTCATTTTTTAGTGAGGGCTCCTTGTGCCTGACATTCAGATTTTGAGAAATATTATTTCTGTACTTATGTACCAGATAGGTTTATCAGCCTTTAGAATTGATCATATTTTGTCCCTTTTCATTCTATTATATGTCAAGTAAAATTTCATACTATTTTTAAAGAAGATGTTTTGGTTTTATAAGATAGCAATCTGTAAATGTATTTGTTGCCAATATTTTATTCAGTATTTTCCTAAGTCATTTTATTTCTTATTCTTTACATTATACTTTATTAGCTGTCACATAATATTTTGGCAAGAAGACCTTACTTTTAGTATATCTTTCAGACTCAGATACCTTCTTTCCACTTATAGAAAAATTTATCTCTTGAATTGTCTGTTTTTTACTCTTTTCCAGTGTGTACTTTTTTTGTTTCCTAATTCTTTTAATTTATTTCTTTATTTTGACATTGAAACTTTATGATTAATATATTGATAGATTAGATTGGAAATTTTCATACTGAGCACATATTTAAAGTGTTTTTCCCACCAGAATTATTATTCAAGTTTTAGGTGCTTGATATTTTAGTTGGTAATTTTAGAAACTGTTCATTTTATTCTCCAAATTTAATTTTAAACAGAAAAGTCTTTTTCTGTATTTAGAGGAGTGGCAGGTGTGGATATCATTCTTTTACTTATCATTATTTATTATTTTTGCCTACTTCAGGATTTTATAGCTCTACTAAATAGGCTACTTTATTATATAAAGTATTAAGAATAGGATATTGATGTCAAATATCTTTTGACTTCTGTACTTTTTGGATACCGTATGTCTTTAGTGCTTCCTCAAATTCTTATTTTAAATTTATATTATATATTGTGTTATCTTTTTATATTTATAGCAGCTGACCAACTTGACAAATCTATGTGTATATTAATTTCTCTTTTTAAAAATGTTTTTTATATGTAAGCATAAGATACTTGTATTATGTTTTTGAAGGATTCTGGGGTAAAGGAAGATGAACTACAGGCCATTCTTAATTACCTACTGACTATGCATGAGGTAATATTGGAATTTCATATTTTGGGGTTTTATTTTTTGAAGCTACATTATGGATTTTTAAAGTAAAAAGTTAAAGAAATCTTCACTAATTATATGACTATAATGGGGAGTAAATGTGTCTAGGAATCAGATCTTAGCAATCTCCACTTAAATATTTTTTATTACTGCAAGATGGCTCTGAGAATAATCATGAAAGGCTTTAAAAAGTGTTAAAATTAGATTTCATTGAATTAGTAATAAAGTATATCAAAGCATACTTTCAGTATGTTTCCAGGAACTGGTGTAACAGATGGAAAAATAGATTATGAAAATGACTTAAAATGATTGGATTTTAAAATTTATTACACAACCTTTCTACTGATTTTGCATGTTCAAACATTAAGTTAAACAGCTCTTTGTAATGAGATTTAAAATTATGTGGTTGAAAGGGAGGTTGAAAATTAAATAGGTTGAGAAATCTGTTTCTTTTTTTCCCCTTTATTTTTTAGCACAGGGAAAATATAATATATGTCAGGTGTAATCTAACTAAATAATCTGATTAGGTTAAAGTATAAATAAGTAAAATTTAGAAATTGATTGGATATCATATGTCACAGCATTTTAAATGATAATTTACATTCCTGTATTACAACTTGTGTCTTGTGAATTAATAAATGTTTTACTATAGAATAGTGCCTTCTTTAGTCATTAATAAATGAGAGATAATGAGCAAACCTATCTTTGTTAATTGGGGCATAAAAGAACGGCATAAATTTCTTGATTGGATCATATTTGACTTAAAATCATTAATGATTATGATTTTTTCCTACTTGATTAGGTTATTCTGATCTTTTAGGTTTTCCTGACTAAATGTAATAGTTGAAGAGTTTTCAATTTCCTAGTAATCTGTTATTATATGTGATTTTGTTTTTCATTAACCCTGAGGGACTGAACAAATTACTTTGTAAGAGATAATCTGGAAGTCACAGTGATCCTCTGTTTTCCCTCAGTTTATTAATTCAGGGATCTTTTAGGTCCTTCAAATAATACTTTTCTAAAAGTTCAATGCCCTAGCTTGAGATCATTTATCTCACTTATTGAAAATTAGATATATAAGTACCTTCTATAGCAAAAAATCAAAGCCAGTAAGAAAACCTAGAGTCAGGGCAACCAAGTGAACTAAGCTCTAATCGCTGCTTTCATTTTCCTTTTTGGGTCAGTATTGCTCAAGTTTGCCCTAATGATATGCCATAGTGGGATATCCAAAAAAGGCAGTGAAGGATTTTCATGAAGATTTTTTTGGGGTCTAGAACTCATATATCCTGCAGTGCTGATGTTCTGTAGATGTTATCCCGTTGTACCACATATAGTAGTATGTTGATTCATATTGATTATCTTCATCTTTAATGCTGACAAGAAATAATATACGAGAACTATCCAGTTATCATTTCCCCAAATTCCCATTTCCCAAAAAGAATTTTCTTTTAGGATAATTTCTTGGGTGGCACAGTGAACAAAATATTCCAGGTTAAGTTTAGGAAATGATATAATAGTTGTCCCTTCACTACCACAGATTCACTGCATTTTTTATCATATTAAAGGCTCTAATGTGTCTTGCTGTACCAAAAAAGAATCACTTAGTTAACTCCTCCCCCCAGTTTCTTGATGTATAAGCCTTCTTTTAAAAAACAAAACTGTTGGGCCGGCCCGGTGGCGCACTGCTATAGTGCGCCGCTTGGGAAGCGCGGTGGCGCTCCCGCCGAGGGTTCGGATCCCACATACAGACCGGTTCCCGCTCACTGGCTGAGCGAGGCGCGGGAGCAGCACCGAGGGTTGCGATCCTGTTGCCGGACACGGAAAAAGACAAAAAAAACATCCCGCTCACTGGCTGAGCAAGGCGCGGGAGCAGCACCGAGGGTTGCGATCCTGTTGCCGGACACGGAAAAAGACAAAAAAAAAAAAAAACAAAAAAACTGTTAAGTCAGATCTACTGTTTCTGTAGAATATGTTTTTGTAAATCTTGATTCAGTATAACATAAAAGACAATTTATTTCTTTGATTAAGAAATTATTTGACTATTTTGTGGTATGTATTTGAGTTAGACAGATGAATGTGTATATTTAAAGAACACAATTGGTTTAAAACAGGTATATATTGCAGATACCAGTATGTGTACTTATTTTTCTAAAGTTGAAATTTCTATTGTTTGGGAAATATTCGGTATTCAAATAAGTTCTTTTTTCCTCATTTTTATTTTTAAATTTCTAAAATGATTGTAGGATGACAATCTAATGGATGTCCTACAGCTGCTTGTTGCATTAATGTCAGAACATCCTAACTCTATGATTCCTGCTTTTGACCAAAGGAATGGATTACGGTAAGAGTTTGTATGTTAAGAGTTTTAATGTATTTAATATTAGGGGTTAGTTTGAAAATATTGGGAAAATTCTTTAATATGAAAAGTATTATTTGATCTCATGAAATGAGTTTACAGCATGAAATGAGTTCAGATTTAAGACCCATTTATTTCATGTCTTATGTTTTTGAAGGAATCTTTAATTATAGTGGCTGTGTTACTATTTAGTACTGTTTGTGAAGATAGAGAAATAATTCCAGTATTTTGTATGGTGTGTGCTATTGTAGAGCTATTGTAAGGCTGAATTCTTTAGCAGAGTTATATTTAGGTCCTAGGACAGTCATATTCAATTGTGATCCAAAAGCAGCTCTCTATCTTCCCTTTAAAATACCACTTTCTCCACCTCCCAATTTCAAATCATTATTGTATTAGTTTGCTTGGGCTCCCATAACCAAATGCTATAGACTGGGTGGCTTACACAATAAAAATTTATTTTCTTACAGTTCTGGAGACTGGAAGTCCAATATCAAGGTGCTAGCATCATTGGTGTTGGGTTGCAAACATCTTCCCTCTCACTGTGTCCTCACATGGCAGAGAAAGAGAGCAGAGCAAGCTCTCTGGTGACTCTTCTTATAAGGATGCTAATCGTATTGGATTAGGGCCACACCCTCATGACCTTATTTAACCTTAATTACTTCCTTAGAGGCCCCATCTCCAAATACAGCCACACTGGGGGTTAGGGCTTTACCATCTGAATTTTGGGGATACACAAATATTTAGTCCATAGCAATCATCAGCAACAAAAACAATACCATTGTTTTATGTATAAGGAAGTTTAAAATCTTTAATTTAATGAAAAGGTTTCTGGGCCACAGAAGTTTAACTACTACTTTGAATGATCAGCTATAGTAACTGTGTAGTTATAATAAATTTCCCACATTGATCTTCTGTTATAACTCCTTTATTTGGTATCTTTTAACATTCAATCTCTATAAGACAGAAATTGACTTTATTCATTATACTTACAGTCTTTTTTTTTTTTTTTTTTTGGTGGCTGGCCAGTACAGGAATTGAACCCTGGACCTTGGTGTTATCAGCATCACACTCTAACCAACTGAACTAACCAGTCAGCCTATTCATTATACTTAAACTTTGTATTTTCAGAGTTATCCAGAGAAACAGAACCATTAAGAGGGGGAGTGTGCATGTGTGTATACACATGAGAGCGAGATAGAGACAGAGACAGATTTATATTAGAGAGAAAGAAAAATCGAGAGGTCGAGAGAGATTTATTTTAAGGGATTGGTTTACATAATTGTGGAAGCTGGCAAGTCAAAAATCTGTAGGGTAGGCAGGCAGGCTGGAGACCAGGGAAAGAGTTGATGTTTCAGTTCAAGTCCCAGGGTGATCTACTGACAGAATTTCCTCTTCCTTTTTTCTGTTAAGGCATTCATCTCGTTGAATGAGGCCCACATACATTACGGAGAGTAATCTGCTTTATTCAAAAATCTACTGATTTAAATTTAGTCTCATTCAAAAAATACCTTCACAGAAACATGTAGAGTAATGTTTGGCCAAATATCTGGAAACCGTGGCCTAGCCTAGTTGACACATACAATTAACTATTACAAGGTATAAAGTAATCTATAGTTTGTCATTTACTTATAGTTTTACTGCCAAACAGAAATTACTTTCTGTTTTCTTTCACTACCATCTAATAATCGCTCCTTTGAAATAAATCAGATTACCCACCTAATTATTTGATGAAACAGTGTGAGTCACAAAGAGAAAGATACTGAAGACAAAAATCCAGAGTAGTAGATAAGAACATGTGAAAGAATTATTATGTATATTGTTCAGACACTTTAGGATTTTAAAGCAGAATGATGCTTAATGTCCTTTTAAATAAAGAAAAGTCCTTTAACTGTTTGGTCTTCATTAGTCAGGCAGCTTTAATTTGCTACCTTATCACTCTGTTCTAAGTACTGTGAGTTTTTATTTTAATAGATATTTGGCAAGTTTTTTTTTCTTCCTATCCAAGTATGTATTCATGAAACTTCAGTGAACTACCCAGTATCTGTCAATTTGCAATCTTTGGTTCATGGTGCCTGTATTGGTTTTCAGTAGGATTTCCAGACTTACTGTTTGTATTTTCATAAAATTTATATTTTCATAAAATAATATAGTCTTTATATTTATCAAGAAACTACAAAGGATGGATATTCTTAATAAGCATCTAGGCTTCTTCTTCTTTTTTTTTTTTGTCTTTTTCCATGTCCGGCAACGGATCGCAACCCTCAGTGTCGCCCCCGTACTGGACCGGGACTGGCAACGGGATCGCAGCCCTCGGTGTTGCTCCCGCGCCTCGCCCAGCCAGTGAGCGGGAACTGGTCTGTACGTGGGATCCGAACCCTCCGCGGGAGCGCCGCCGCGCTTCTCAAGCGGCGCACTATAGCAGTGCGCCACCGGGCCGGCCCTAGGCTTTTTCTAAGATTGAAATCTTCCCTCTAATAAAAGTCAGACCCTTTTTATTCTCAGTAGGCATGTTAACACAAAACAAACTAGGCTTGTAAATATTTTTATTACTTTTGTACACATTTCTTTCTTTCTTTCTTTTCTTTTTTAGCAGCTGGCCGGCATGGGGATCTCTTTTGTACGTGTTACATGTTTATTAACTGAGTTTCAGAAAACGTTAAAAGGTTTATGTAAAGACTTAGTAGTTTTGTGTTTTGTTTTTGGTCCCAAAGGATGTAATCTTATAACTTAATTTTCTTAGTATTTGTACAGATGTAGTGTAGTTTGTGGATTAGTTTAGGATTTTACTATTTTTTATTTTAAAAATAGTTGCAAGGTAGCAAGATAGACATTTAAATATTAGTAAGCATTATTATTCTATCGAAAATCTTAGCAGTGAAACTTTGTACTTACGTACTTTTAGTCTTCAGGTGTGAATTCTTGGTTCACAGTGGTATCTCAGTTTCGCTAGGTCTGACTAACTTCTTTGTTCCTGTTGCTAACTCATCTTAACATCCACATCTTGCAGTTTTTTGATTTCTTAACTTTAGTGACCCTTACTGCCATTCTATTTAATATTTCCATTCCTGTTTTAAAAATCTAGATCTTTTCAGCATAGGAATGTTTCTACATCAGAAATTTTAAACTCCAGTCTTTCATCACAACCATCTGTCTCCCTCCATTTTTCTAATATCACCCTTACCCAATGCTCTTCAGCCTCCTGGAGACTTTTGTCTTTTGATCTTGCTATTTTTATCCCAGATTGTCATACTTCCTCTGCTGTTGTCTACCTCCTTCCTAGCCTGGTTGATTGCTGGAACTGATTTCTCATGAAAATTCCCTTTGCTCTTGTCTTGTTATTATCTGCTCTTGAGAATTCTAATCTAGATCAGTCTCGGTAGGCACTGTCTCAGCTGCTGGGGAAAAAGTCGTGCAGCTGTGTATGTTAAAACTATTATAAATTCACGATCTTTAAAGTCAGCTATACTTTTAACATTGTTAGACATTTTTATTTATTTCTTTAGATAAAATTCCAAGTTTTTTACAACTTTCTCCTTATTCTCAGCAGCAACAGCCTCATTTATTTATTAAAGCTATAAAGGGGAAATTATTTCAGTTTCCATCTTTTTTCCCCAAAGGTGTATATCAGAGCCCATTCTTACTTGGTTACATCTAGAAGTCGTGGATAAGTCCTCCTTCTTCCTGTTTATGGTTGTCCTGCCACCATTGCCCTTGATCATCTTACTTTCTGTTTCTTCTGTTGTTGCCTTTTGCTGACTGTTCCGTAAGGTTCTGTTTTTATAAATAAAAGTTTGTTGGGGCACAGCCACTCCCATTCTTTTAAATATTGTCTATGGCTACTTACATGCTACAGTGACAGAGTTGAAAGCTGGGACAGAAATGATATAGCCTACAAAACCTGAAATATTTACTGTCCCTTTACAGAGATGTTGGCCATCTCCTATGCTAAATAAATGCTAGAATATTTTTTTCCTTGACTGTTTTAAATCGCCTCTCCTTCTTATGTATTATTTCAGAATTGGGTACAACTATAGCAAAATGCATCTTTATAACTATGGGAATTTGGGTTAGATCCGTTTGTTTTTAATCTTGAATATGTTATGTATTATCTCATTTACTTGAG